CTTCATGCTTAAATCCTATTTTAATCGATTTTCAGTCATAAAAAAAGAATGAAAGCCTAGATTCAGCAATGCTCAAATTTTGCAAGTTTGAAACATTTCCTTTTACCCTATTAGTGAGTTTAATAACAGATTTTTGGTTTTGACTATGTACCACCCAAGGAACTCATATAAATTGAAAGCTGAAGTTGTTATTTTAGAGTTAGAAAGCCCTATTTATAGCATATTATTAAGATTTAAACTCCTACTGAGCATAGTAAAAAATGTAAAAAATTCCATTTTTCAGTTTCTGGAAGTTATATTCCATGGAGGTCACCTTGTCAAGGTCATTAACAAACCAGGACAAATAAGAATAATACTTAAATTTCTGTTGTGCTTTACAAGTTAGAAAGCATGACAGCACACATTATCTATCACATTTGATCCTCATAACACTGTGTGATAGAGATGGCAAAGACAGCTACAGAGTTGGCAGAAAGGACTGAATGACCAAAACAAGGACATATAACAAGCCAATTGAGACTAAAAAGTAGGTCTTCTTTCACCGAGTCTGGTATTATTATTATTACTGTTACTACATCATGTTCTTCTATGGTATTTCTATAACAAAGAGGCATTAGAGGATTTTTAATTAAGGTCCTAATTTTTATATGCATCAGATGATATCACATCCTACTTCACTCAGAAGATCAAGGTCATTGGTCATCAGCTTCCTCAACTTCTACCCATAAGCATCTGTATTTCTTACCAGCTGCACCCATTCTCTCATCTTTTTTCCTTTTTTTCTAACAAAACAAAAATTTGGCCAGTTCCTTTATCAAATGTGACCTCTTTGCATGAGCTACTTTTTCCAGAACCATATACTATCAGTCATCTCTATTTTATGCATTTATAACTTTTTTATATGAGAGGCTCTCACATGATGGGAAGGACCTGAATACATTATGGGGCTTCCTTGACCTCTCTGTAGTTTTTGACACTGTCTGGTGAATAGTCCCCTAGACTGTATATCCTCTTCTCCCTTTGTTTCTGAAAAACCTGAATTTTCCTTGGAGAAAAAGGAGGTGGTAAACAAATTACAAACCTAACACAGAGGAATGACAAACCAATGATGAGTAAATTCAGTTATCCATATATCTACTGTAATGCTCTAAATGCCCCAGAAAAAGCTTCTAGTGATTTCTTAATTTGCCTTGATGATAATTTTATCCTTCAAATTTGGAACCAAGGAGATAATCTTCTCTTCTAAACCTGTTTCTTACCAATAATAAGAAACTGCTTACTGAAATCGGAAACAACAGCAAACTTGGAGGTGGGAAGGTGAGGAGGTAGGGAGAAGTAGCCACTCCAACTTTGTATTTAACAATGTTGAGGATTGTCATTATCTCTGGATTCCCTGTTTATAATTTGTGTTCATCTGAATTCTATTTTGCCAATGTGTCTACCCATTACAATAAGCCTTCTGATGATATTTAATGTGCTGTCAAAGTTTTTTTTTCTTCCCCAACCAGTAAATCACTGTATTAATGACATTCATCTTATTAAGTTTTTCACTTTAGATAAATTTATTTGGATAAGTGATTTTTTTCATTTTCCTCATTTATTTTTTTTGTGACTTCTCATTGCTACATATATGAAATATTATACTAAATAGTACATATACAAGAGTAATTCAGCTGTGAGGTATGTGGGGTCCGTGTAAGATGTGTATGTCCATTCCGCATGTACAAATATATAAGTATGCACTTTGAAGAGTTTAGCTTGCTACATGAGTTTGTGCTGTTATCAAAAGGTACAAGGCTACTTCTATAAAACAAGTCCAACCACAGCAAACTTATCTGATTGAAGATGCAAGAATTACTTTAAAAGCGCTGTCAAACAGAGGGCTACAGGCTACCTACAGCCATTATCATTTCAGCAGCCTAAATCAGATTAAAATATAATTGGGAAATAACAAAATAAATAAAAATATAACGATATATAGATAATATTAACATGTGGTTTTCTAAGTCAATATGTGGCCCACAAGGGATCATTATTCACCTTTTCTATTTGAATTTTACATTAGTACTTTAAAAAATATTTAATGACTCAAGGTATCAATAGGCCAGGTGTCAGATGAGTAGTAAAGACAATAATTTCTGTAGTAGTTTCATGGAGGAAAGGAATAGTGGACTTCAATAGACTTGAAAGTCTTCACAATTGCCATGGGAATTAAACTTTAAGTTTTAAGAAACAGATAGAAATTAGATGAGCAGAGTGGAGTAAGGAGAGCATTTCAGGGGGGAAAAAAAATAAGAATAGTAAGCAAAAAGCAGGACAGTGAAAATGTGCCAGACCCAGTGTGGAAACAGCAAAGAAAACAATTAGGCTGCAGGGTTGTTGTCTAATTGAGTAGAGGGAAATAGGTTTGCAAAGGGAATGTGCAGCCAGAATGTACCCACATGTGTGTAAAGGGGGGAGTTAAAGGCCAAATTAAGATTTGGGCTTTAATGGGCTTTAATCTGTAGGCAATAAGGAGTCATTGTCAAAACTTGATCTTTGGGAAGGATATGAAATTATTCACATAAATGACTGATAATCTTTTAAAAGTCTTTCCTTTCCTAGAGGTAGCATTTTAATAGGTGGACAAAGTCATAAATCAAAAGCATAGATTTCTAACTATAGAATCAGATCTTTGTTCAGTCATTGTTCAGTTTTGTCTGACTCTTCATGACCCCGTTTGGGGTTTTCTTGGCAAAAATACTAAAGCGGCGTGGCATTTCTTTTTCCAGCTGATTTTGCAGATGAGGAAACTGAGGCAAACAAGGTTAAAGTGGTTACACAGCTAGTAAGTGCTCGAGGCTGGATTTGACCTAAAGTCTTCCTGACTCCATGCCTGGAGTTCTACCCACTATGCCACCTAGCTGCCCCTCATAGAATCAAGTAGGTGATATATATTTTAAGTCTGAGGTAAAGAATAGGATTCAAGCATCGCCTAAATTCACGACACAAAGCAACTTTTCTGCCTGTTACAAACACCAGTCCTTCCTTAGTAAGTCACATGTGGAAGCAAAATGGTGTGATGGAAATACCAATGAATTTGGAGTCTCATGAACTGAATTTGAAATCTGATTGCTGTTTACTACTGGTATGACCTTGGGCAGGTCACATAATGTGTAAAATAAAGAAACTGGACTACATTCATTGTAATGTACTCCCACTGTCTAGTTAGGGGACTATTGATTCTTTGTGTCATATTGAGCTGAAAGGTTACTCTAGGGTTGCCATGGCTATTTAAAAAGAAATGTTCTGATCACATAGAGAAACCAACATATTCCTCTCACATATCCAGACAAAAGGGAAAGAGTAAGTGTTCTAGTTATACTATATTATGTGGTATATCTACCACATGTGGATATTAATATATGCTAACTTAGAAAAAATATTCTTGAATCCTTCCCATTAATATGTATTTCTTGGGTTCCTCCAATATATATATAGGCACAGCTTTCAAGGAACAAAACCACTAAAGATATGAATTTTGCATGTTTAAAGATTATAGACTCCTTGGGAAAACCTAATACAGCTGCCTGGAATAGCTTAATAATGATCACAATGAAGATATTTTATAACTGAAATTAAATGGTAGATAGATAGATAGATAGATAGATAGATAGATAGATAGATAGATAGATAGATAGATAGATAAATTAAAGGGATGGTTAAGAAGTAGCTAGGGCAATCACCAGAAAAAAAATTGTATAACAATTTTCTACCTCATTTTTCTTTTCTGTCTTTCTCTTTATTTTTTTTCATCCTGAGCCTTACATACATTTTAAAGGAAACTTAAATTATATACTATATGATCTCTCTCTCTCTCTCTCTCTCTCTCTCTCTCTCTCTCTCTCTCTCTCTCTCTCTTTCTCCCCCTAATGATTGATTGAAACATTTTAAAAATAAAAGCATCTATTAATTTACCTTGAATTCACCCCTACTACTGACTTGGGGGAGAGGAGGATCTCTCCTCTTTGGCTTATTTATAATTAGAGAAGAAAATGAAAAAGAATATATCTTTAGCATAGACCTTAATTGTCACTAGTACCTTCGCAATTTTATAAATAGATTACTGCCACTCACCTTAAATAAACATGCTACTCTGCTGTGGTCAGAGCTACATTTTTTGAAAACAGTAAATGGTCTGATCACATATAGAAAACAACCTACCTCCTCTCAGACATCCAGACCAAAGGGACAAAGTAAACGTGGTACTCATGGCACACAGTGACTCTGCTTGTGCAGAATACAGTCCCTTTATTTGAGGATTTGCTGCTTAAGCTGTGAGCTTCCTTTTCTTGAGTCTCCCAAGGATGCTTATTTGCACTTAAATGCATATATTTTAGTGCCCCATATTCTCAAATTTGTTTGCAAATTACCTTAGAGGTTCCCTACATACTCCATTGTGACCACAGTGAACTCCAAGTTTTATAATGTTTTCCTGCCTACTAACTGATTTGAAATATGTATCACAAGTCTTCCCTCTTTGAGTCGCACCACAGGGGTAAAAGCATTGTCCCCTGAAGGATACTTCTAAAATCAGCATTGTTATCTGATAATGAATATAACACCTGGGATACCTTTTGAGGTAATGCTGGGGCATTCTAACAGAAGCATCAAATATGTATTTGGCTGGGACTGAAACCTTGGAATTTTGAGAGTTAGTTTTGCTTTGGCAAGAAAGCCTATTTTATTAGCAATTTAAAATGTCAGTCAAATATTTGATTTCTGTATCTAAGTTACAAGCAAGGAGAAGTATCACTTGGTTCATAGAGAAGTATATTCCTAATGGGCCAAGCGGGCCCATATGAGCAGTTTCCCATAGATGATTATAATATACAGAAAACACATAATTATTCTGGGCTTAATTGGCCTTGGGCCTATTTATTGTGTTTTAGGAGAGGAGAGAGAGAGACTATCTGATATATTATGCTTTCGTTGGCCTGGGGGGCTGAAGACAAAGCTGATTTTTTTTTTCTTGGTTGTCCTTGAACAAGAAATACTATAAAGAAAAACAAAGCATAAGGGTGAGATTTGGCAGTCCACTCAACTCTGAAAGGGAAGCTTATCGTAAACTGGCATTACTCATGTCAAGAAATTGAAGATCTCATGCCCTTTTCTCTTTGACACCACAGCCTCATAAAAATCATAGCAAAATCCATGCAGGTGGATGAGGTAGCCAGTTTTTGTTTACTTGTTTGTTTTAATACCTCTGGCACTTAGTACAACAGCATATTTTAGATATACAATAAATACTTCCTGAATGAATTCATGAAATAAGCTTTCTCATGCACCATCTAGGCCTTGAGTACTCAGTACCCTGTTGTACAAAACACATGTATCTGACAATGCTCAGAGTCAAAAGCAGGACCTACAGCTGGAAGGGACCATTTAGCTAAAATAGACTAGCAATATCATTTTACAGATGAAGAAATAGACCAGAGAGGAATAACTTGCTTCAAGTCACGCTGGTATAAAGTAGCAGAGATGGGATTCAAACTCCGCATCTCTGTCTCCAAACCAATGCTGTTCCCATGCCATGGTAATGTGAATAATTATCCCTATCTTCCAACATCACTTTGGTGACCTCCCTCTGCCAAAAACAACAACTAAAAACAAAACCATCCTCCAAACAAATTTTGAATGCTACCATTACCACCACTCCATTCTCATTTGTTGTTTCCTTACACAATAGAAGCAGGTAAGCTTTGAATCTTGTGAGGCACCAAAGAATTTGCAGAATTCATTTTCAATTCTTTGAGAATAGAAAAAAGTAGTTACAAGCTGGGATTTTTAGATGGAATGCAACTGTTTTACTTTATAAAATATTAACCCAGGGAAGTTTAATTTTACCCTCTAGTTGCTAATTACTTTTTCAAGAAGCACACATGCTTTCCTTTTCCAAAAATCATCTTCAGATTCCCTCAGCAGGCGCCTGGAAGGTAACATCTCCCAAAGTGTTAATGAGATACTTTGCCATTTTACTACTGGGTTCATTTTCAAGGGATGGCATTCCAGTAGCAGATAAACTGCTGTTCTCTGAACAAGGAGTTCAGTGTTTTCTTTCAAGTAGGGCTAGGGAAAATTGGAACATTAATAAATATTTAAATTTCAAAGATAAAATCCTTCAGGTTAAAGACAAATGGTCCTTATTAGGTAGAAATTAAAATTCATATTACTATGTTGGAGACTGACAGACATTGAGAGAATTATTTGAAAAAAAAATGCACATTCCTACTTATTTTGGCTGATAGAAGGATTCTACCAAGTCCTCCTCCATCCCACCTCTCTCATGGCTTCTAGGGAACCCTAAATTCTTAAAGACTTTGCCAATGGAGAATAAGTTTAGAAAGGTTTGAGTAGTGCCCTAGCAACAGACTGTCTAATTTATTAAGGACAGCCTAGTTAAGCATGAGAAAGGTCATTACTACTTCTCTTTCCCCTTCCTTTGACCTTCATCCAAATACTTTCTGTCATGTTTTTCCCTGTGATTCCTGAATTTCCCCACATGAGTGTACCTTTTTTAATATGCAGTGTGTCCCAAAAGTCTCAGTGCAGTTTTAAGCTTTAAAACCTTACAATATAGGATTGACAAATGACTGTACAGATATGGAGTATGCATAACAAAGGATGGTATAAATTTATTTACAAATTGTATTGTAAATTTAAATGAAAGCTTTGAACTCAGAAACATGGAAGACAGAGATTTAATAGCTGTAAACTGCACTGAGACATTTGGGACATCCTATATAATGCTACCCTGATTTAACCCCTACCCTTTTGACCTATGTGATTTCTTTAAAATAAGGTTTAATCATCCAGAGTCACACTTTGGTCTCAGATTTCATCCAACAATGTCTTAATGATATCTGTGTGGTTAAATTAGCCTCTTTGTGTTAGAACTTCTAATACCTTTTTTTTTTGTCACCTGAAGTTTCAACTTTTGAGAACACACATTTGAGACTACTGGTTTTACAACTGACTTCTTTCTTAGATTATGTCTGCTGTGAATTTTTAGATACTTCAGCTGTTATTCTTCCCTTCTTTCTGAAGTCTCTCCGTAGTATCTAACTTAGGGGATATATTTAGGAAATCTCCCTCTTCCATCCTTCTGAATTTAAAGCCCTCTCATTTAAATTTGCAATACAACTGTTAATAAATTTGTACCATCTTTTGCTATGTGTACTCCATTTCTGTCCAGTTCTCTGTCCATCCTATATTGTAAGCCAGGATCCAGAATTCCAAATCCAATTCCCAAATTAACTTTTTTATTTCCTGTTCACTCTCAAAATTAATTTTTCTCTTCTTCTTAAGCTGGTATCAGTGGACAACAGTGAGGAAACCACACCATGTAATCCTATGGTATTTAGTTACTTCCCACTACTTCATAATGATTGGGAATAATTTTTAAGTTTCGTCTGAAAGTATCATTTGCACTCCCTTGAATTACAAGAGGCAGGTAGTTGCCAGTCATTCTGATAGGTTTTAAAAGGTTTTTAGTTATGCCTTAGATAAAGGCCCTCTGGAAGACAACAGAACTCTATTAGAGTTTATCAAGTCAACAAATGGCTGCCTCCATTACCCCTTGAGCAGGGAATCATCAACTACTGTTCTTCTTCATTTGCCTATTACTGAAATATATACCCCTTGGTAATTTTTAGGAATACACTATATCATTCTTTAGAGGAGTAGAAGGTTGTTCTTCTTCAGACATCTGTTATTTACTTCTTCAGGAAATGAAGCTTATAATGAATTTCTTATCCCATTGTTACATGAAGTTACAGATTATATTATAAATGTTATAAGTTACAACTAGATTGACTTACTTTATTCCCATACTGTCTCATCATCATCCACCTTGCCACTCAGACAAGAGATCACGGTATGGAGGACTTTATCCTTTCAACTCCAGAAGTTCCCCCATTCACACACACACACACACACACACACTGTTTTCCAGTTTTAGAATTATAATCAGATCAATACTGTGATTTCTAATGTAAGGGGCATATCAGTCTATTCCCCTGTGGCTCCACTTACTGTAATTATCCAAGAAACAATGGAGGAATGATGCACAAATCCTCTTTATAAATCACCTTTTCCATGGATGCTTTGGGGGCAAAGAAACTGTCTTTGTTTTGAAATTATATCCATAATGCCTAGCACATGAATTAACAGTTATTCCTTAATACATTTTTTTTCATTTATTCATTCACTCATTTATTTAGAACTGATTGACTTAAAAAGCAACTTGAAAGAAGACTCCAGGGCAGCTAGGTGGCACAGTGGATAGAGCACTGGCCCTGAAGTCAGGAGTACCTGAGTTCAAATCTAGCCTCAGACCAAACACTTAATATTTACTAGCTGTGTGACCCTGGGCAAGTCACTTAACCCCAATTGTCTAAAAAAAAAAAGAAGACTTCAGTGAAGTTGCTCTGGGGTCTGTGTTTTGTCCTGTGTTGTTCATAATTATTTTTCTTTAAATCAATGACTAGGATAAAGATACCAATGTAGCCTAAAAGTTTATTAACTTTATTCCCTGTCACCAAATCTTACAATTGACTAATTTTTAAGTTACGCTGAATTAAATCCTAGTGATCTTTTTAACGTGGGTTATGAAAACTGGACCCTCTGAAATGCACAGCTTAAGTTTTGCAAAATGTGAATTCTTGAGTTTTCACTCATTCTTCCCCCTCCCCCAATTAGTTCTAAAGTGAACCTTCTTCCCCTATTTTTTACATCTATTCCCAATTAGGTAAATTCCAAGATGTATATTGTAATTCACTTTAAATTGCATCAAATATAAGTACATGTCACTTTATCACCATGATTTTTTTTAAATGAGAATAAATGGTCAAGTCTAATTTAATTTTAGACATAAGTGTGTACACATGTCAAAAGTTTTCAAGAATAAACAGTTTGATAGTATTAAGCCTGTATGATTTCCATAATGAAACATATCATCTTGAAATACTATTCGGGGCTGAAATTAGAGATTCTTCTAATAAAGGAATATAGCTCGATAAGTTAAGGAAAACAATTTGTAACTGGTAAATATTTTCTGACATTTCTGGTTTGCAAATGAATGAAAGCATTCAACAAATAAAACCCTAGGAGTCCTAAATTTGATTTCTAACAAATGAATTTTGAACCCAGGTGTGACAGATATTTCCTGGGGTGTGGTATAATCTATTTAATCTATCCATGTCCACATCCCATAAGTTGTACAGTGAGAAGGGTAATTATACCCCTCCCCCACAAATAGGGAAGCATGATAATTCTTTTATAATAATAGTGGGCAGAACTTCTGCAATTTTTTAAGTGACTGGACCTTGTTCTTTTTTCTATAGATCAAGATAGTAACTATGAATCCTCTCTGGTCATCTTAATTCCTTTGATTACAAATTAAAATAAATTAGCGGCTGAGCTATTGATTGGCAACTATATCACCTGTTAAATTTTTTATTTCTTTCTGTATTCTCCAGCAGTACTACAGGCAATTTTTAAACCTATGAACTAGATTGGTTCACTCAAACAAGGAAAGGCATCTCAGACAAATAAAGCAAGCTGACAGCAGGCTGTTTAAGGTCAGCACTTCGTAGCAGACTGAAAGGTTATGCTGCTTACCTCTTTCATGCAGTGGGCAGCAGGGAAGACTTCTGAACAGTAGGACAGGATGGAGAAACTTGTCAGCTCTCTGATTTTCTGGGTCAATACTTCCAAGCCTGCTAACATAACTCTGTGTGAAGTATTCTCCTTCCCTCCTTTTTTTCCCCTCTCCAATTCAATTATAGGAACCAAAAACCCATCCCAAAGCTCAGTAAATGAGTTCTGGAGTATGAGCCTCATTGCTTCTCTCCATCATAGCAGGAAAAAAAAAAGATTATAGCTAACTATATTATAACCTACTTTAAACTAAGTTACTCTTTTAGAAAAAAAACATTAATTGGATCACAGAATTTTAGAAGTTCTAGAGACATTGGAGATTGTATATAATTCTACCATCTTATCTTACAAGAATCTGCAGGGAACAGAGGCATTGTGGTAAATGGGCCAGTTGTGTTCAAGTGAATTTCACTGAGGAGCTAACACGCATAGTGAGTACCTCGACTTCCCTCTCTTAGAAACAGGCCAGGCACAACTGACAGATTATATGTCTCTTCTCTAATGCATTGGCTTTAGTCTCCATTCCAGTGTATTCCTCCCACAATTAACACCCTAATTCCATTTAACCAATTAATATAAAACAGCTTTTACAAAAGGATATTAACTTTAAAGATACCGCAAGAACAGCAGTATCAACATTTCTCCCCATCACCTTCAGTGGCACACTCTCCCCTCTACTACTTTGGCCTCTGGGGAGAGGGAGGTCAGACTTACTACATTTTATATATAATGTCAGTCCACCAAGTTCACGTCTAAATGCAAAACTGCTGCTAGATAAGACTTTGTCTCATCACATACCACTGGACTTGATCCCAAATATTGTTTCTCAAAACTGTACCTGCTGCTTACGAATCTCAGCAAAAGCTCTGTCTTGATGGCGTGCATTTCTGTCCTCTCAACTCCTTCACCTAAAATGTCAGAGGAAATGAGAGAACAAAGAACTCTGTCTTATGTTCATGGGCCACATATTGATCTGGAGGAGGAAGAATAAAGGCCTTCTCCCATTAAAGCACTGTCTCTCACCAGAATGTTAAGAAGTAAAACCAAGAGAAAGGACAAGGCCAACTAGTGCCTTTTTAGTTCAGCCCCATTTCTGGCTATGTGCTGCAGTCAAAATGGGTTCTATTTACCGTGTGGTTAAAAGTCTTGAAACCAGAATGTCTGCATTTTCCAAATTCCCCATGGGAATTTCATTAACCAAGCACTATACATATATATTTAAGGACTGAGCTTAGGTCCCCGTTGTATTCTCCATGGGCTCTTACTTTCATGTCAACTCGGGCTTCTCATTCACCTTTGGTGTCCACCTGACATCTCACCGATGGCTCCAAGAAGCTGCACCAGGTGCAACGACCACACTCCAATAAACCCCTTAGGCAGACAGGGCACACTAGGGTAGTGAAGGTAAATGATGGGTCACACCTTTTTGTGAGTTAATGGTGTGCTTACCCCAAGCATGTGAAGACTCCCCCCAGTGGAATAAGGGGATGAAAGCAATTTGTTCCAACAGCCATGAAAGCTGCTCTTAGAGCTTGGTCAGACATCAAAATTCAAGATGAGGGGTGACCATGACACTAGGTACATACATATCTTACACTACTATTTAATCCAATTGCAGTGGCTTTCTATTTCAAGGATCACATATAAAATTGTCCGCTTAGCTTTTAAAACTCTACACAACTTTGCCCCAACCTATCTTTCCAGCTACAGTAGACATTACACCCTTCTCTACATTTGACCCTGCCACACAGGCCATCTCTCTATTCCTCACATTCAACACTCCATTTACTATCTCTGTGGATTTACACTAGCTTTGTTTCATACCTAAAGTGCTTTCTTTTTATCACTGCCTCATCAAGTCCTTCTTATCCTTTAAGATGTGCCATCTTTTACATTGAACCTTTCCTGATTGTCCTAGCTTTTAATGTTCTTTCTCTCAAATTACTTTGTATGTGTGTGTGTGTGTGTGTGTATACTTTCTATATATGTATATAGTTGTATTTTTCTATTTTATATTTATGCAGTGTATTTATGTATGTATGCATGTGTATGTGTGTATATATGTATATATGATGTTTTTGTTGTCTCCCCCAATAGAATATAAATTCCTTGTGAGTGGGTATTATTTCATTCTTTGTTCTTGTATCCCCAGTGCCCAGTATAGTGCCTGCCACATGGCAGGTTCTCAATAAATATATATTGAGATGTTTTGCCTACCTCCTCCTCTTCTCTAATACTTGGAACTCTATTTGAAAGAAGATAACAGAAGTGTTTTAAAATTGAATGGATCTCAGAAGTGAGAATAAGGTTATTTCCTCAATATTTACAACATTTAGATTGTATGGGTGTTTAAGGAAGACTAGCACCTCTGGGGTGCCAAGCCATTTTCAGGGCTGATGATTCCCCTTCCATGGAGATTGGTCTAACATCAAAGACACCAAGGTCATCCACTGCATCCTGGGCCAGCACCAGTCATCCTGATTTTTGTCTTGGCACTGAATTTCAGGGACTCTGGAAGGGAGAGTGAGGCTGACAATTTTCTACAACTCTACCTCACTTAAATTCAGTTTATGCACCAGTCAAGACATTATCCTGTGATGTCATTTGTTCTCTTCAAAAATGAAGGATATAAACAGTTGCATTTATGTTTATTCTGAAACATGTTTTATTCCTTTGTATTTCCTGAACCTAGATGATTAAGAAGTAATTATTTTTTATGAACTTATTCCAATTATAACTTACAAACTAGAAGAGCTGCTGCCCAGGAACACAGAGAATTTGGAATGTAATTTGAAGAAGTATTATTGGACCAAGGGCAGAAAACTTGTTCTGGATTATGAGATTTTATTGTAAGAGATATTTTTTTTTGGTGGGGAGAATCATATTTAGATATAGTCAGGTTTCTTTTTCATTTGAGATCATTCCCACAAGTCCATCTACTAAGATCATTTTTAGTATTAACTTTTGTTTTGAGCCCCATGCTGCAAAATGTCAAGTATCTGGGGTATTCATTAGTTGCTATCCCTTTCACTGAAGTGGCTCATAATCCCTCTAAGACTTGGAAAGTCCCTGTGACTGTGAATTTCATCCACTGATAGTCAACCACATGATGAATGTCTCTGAATTGATCTGGTCTGTAATACACATGGCAACCAGTAAGTCTGTCATCAGAACATACTCTACACAAAACCTTTTCGGTATGGTAGAACCTGCCAAAGTGTGTATGACATTACCATAGAGATCTCAGAGTCACTTTCACACCATAATGATTCTAAGGCCCTTATGAAACCGAAGCATTTCCCTTGGCTGAGTCTGGCATAATTGAAATAATGCAGGCTTTGGAGTCAGGGTACACCAACATTCGAATTCAGTTTCTGGTACTTAACAATTATGTGACCGTGGGCAAGTCACTTAACTTTTTTGAGCTTCAGTTTCCTCACTTGTGTGATGGGGATGATTATAATTATAGTATATGCTTTACCAGGTTGTCGTGAAGATGAAACAATATAATATATGTAAAGTATCAAACCTTAATTTATATAAAAATGGTGGTTTAGAATTAAAATGTGAATTCCTTAAAAGCAGAGATTGTCTTTTCTATTTGTATCCCTAGACCTTAACATTGTTCTTTGTAAATTGTAAGCACTTAATAAATGTTTTATTCATGTTTTGCTCAAGTAAGATGTTCATATGATTTTCACTAGGAATGGAATCTCCCATCACACCAATTTGATACAAACAGTAAAATAAGCTTGCATTAAGCACCAATCATGTAAAACCACTGGAATAGAAGGAACCCTCACCTGATAGATAAGGACATAAAATTCAGACTTTTCCAAGGCTGCACAAGTATCAGTTCTGGGACTTGAATGCTGGTGCTCTGACTCCAGATAAACTGCTTTTCCCTCTATACCAGGTTCCTTCCCCCAGGAGGAGTGATATTTACAATAGCCAACAGACAGTAATTTACATACTATTTAAAAATTATCATTTTAATTTGCAAATTATAAAAACATTCATTAGTGTAATTAGTTGGCAAGCTTCATGAGAGTTAATGTATTTTTTTTTCAAAATAATAAAAAGTAGCAAAGTAGCTAAAATGAATTATGGCAGGGGTTCATATTGGCCTCTCACCAAGAATTCCTCATTGTTTTCCTTTTTATTCAAAATAGCCCTGCTTTTATTGCTGCTTCCCTGTTGCTCTAAAATACCGAGTGCTCAATGTCAAATAAATGTGTCATCAGGAATGGCTCACAGAGTGACTGCATCCCAGTAATGGTGTGCATTCATTCATTCATTCATTCATTCATTTACCCATTCATGCAACCAGCTTTTATTAAACATCTTTTATTTTCATAGCACTGTGGTAGACAAGTTCCTGCCTCCATGGAGCTTTTATTGGAGTGGTAGGAGAGAAACACAGATAGCTATACTAAAGTAATAATTGTGTTAGTTAAGTACACAGGCACGTGCGTGTGTGCGCGTGCACGCACACACACACACCCAGAAGCACTTTCCTGGCTGGTAGTTGGAAAGAGGTTAACCACAAGTGGTTCAAGGAAATCTTAATGGATGAGGTAGCAATTGGGTTTAACTTTAAAAGGATGAGTAGAAATTCTAAAAGTTAAAGAGGGAAAGGAAAATATTCCAAGCATAAGAAATAACCTGTCTAAAGTATGGAGGTAGAATAGTGTCAAAATAAAGGAATATCTGAAGAACCCAGGGAGCAGTTTGGGATACTTCTTTAAGGTCAGAGTAAAGGTGGTAGAGAGTGACCAAGGAAGGACAGAAAGAAACAAGGTCAGAGTTCAGATAAATAAAAAGTTTAGGAGGTAAAACTATAATTGGAAATTCTTTCATCTGTGGCAAAAAAAAAAAAACCCCAATAAGTCAGGATAAGATGAAGAGTAGAGGACACTCTGATCTTAGATATAGTCATGAGGAGAGGTAAAGCAGTCTGTCATTCATTGAGCTTGACCTGTATCCCTGAGGGAGCTAGGTAGAAAAGAGTTGTGCCTTGAGAGAGGAAAACCATGTGATTGGAACTCAGGAGGTGATGGGAGTGGGGATTGCTAGTGGTGGCAGCCAGGATTTGGGTGAATAAATGAGGTTGGTTTCACAGCTTGCTACAGATCAGCATAGGATATTGAGTCAAGAGGGTGGAAGTCTCCAGACTACCAAGGTGAGGAATCATGATCTCCCTACCCTCAATAAGGAAGTATATTGTCATAGATAGTGATGGTTTGGGGCAAAGCCCTAATCACTTTGTCCCAGTTATTAATCTGTTAAGAAGAACTCATCATCACAGGGAAAGAAAGACAGACAGGAACCTATGATTAGAATCTGAAATTTTAGAATTCAGGATCATAAAGTGTGGTAGCAATATCCTAACCCCTGCCCCCATTCTACTTAGGCCATTTTTGTTTTATTTTGTTTTGATTACAAGTTATTGAGACCATTCTCAATATCTGGTTTGCTTTGAAGACTAAAAATTCACACTGTTAGTGTCACTTTCTAGTCACCTGGATACAAAGCAGTCAAGATGAGTTCCTGGTTCTCTCTGAGTCCTGACTGATAGAAAATGATGGGCAACTCAGGAAAAGAAGCTTCCCTCCTTTGAATCAACTTGAGGCATTTTCAGTGTCTGTCTTTGTTGATATGCTACAGCTAAGCAAATCACCTCTAGTTAACTGTTGAATGATCTCTTAGCATCAGCTCCCTTAGGGGCGAGTTCAAGCTCTATGGATGACAGGCTCATTTTTCCCCCAATATTGAACCTAACCTACTAAGGGCTTAGCCTGAGTCAGGCCAAGCCCAGAACATGGAGGCATAAAATAATGGGTAGTCACATGATTTAATATATGCTTTTTACTTTACCCCTTTCATTGTTGTGGCAGAGTGAAAATAC